AAGAAAGGGGGGGGGGGGGCTGGGGGGAGGGGAAGTGACTTATCACGCTACTCCAAAACGTGCATAGCTTGTACTTGAGTTCTCCAGAGACTTATGCACAGAGTAGCAACAATAAATGAATACAGCGACAATGGTTACAGTTTTTAAACAGGTTATTTCTTCAAAGAAAAAACATCAAAGGACTTAGTCCAATATGCACTTTTTAGCATTTCTACAGCATGCGATTCTAAGAGTAAACCCACCCAATATGGCAAACAATCAAAAAAAGTTTTTTTTTTTCTGTTTAACTTAGAAAGTTCAAGATCATTATTTTCAAAACATTGATTTGTACATCATTTCATACACAAAGAATTGACTCAATACCCAAGTGTAGGATAGGTCTCTTTTGAAAACAGAGATTCCTGGTTGATGAGACTTACAGGATAGTGTTAAGGATATAAACTGCCCTTTCAAGTGGACAAAACCAAAACAGATCAAAAAAAAAAAAAAATCAGTATGATGAAAAAGGGGGGAACGAAGGGGAGGCAGGAGGGACCAAGGATTGCATTTGTTATCCATAAAAGGTGAAAGGATTCCTTAAACAAGCATTCATTACCTTTTACAGCATGTGCTTGGTTACCTTACTGCTATCCTATATATGCCAAGTTTTGTGCAACAATTATCTGTGATAATAGAAAATAAAAAAATTAGGGACTAAATTTACAGCGTTAACAACCCCCAGATGCTCTGGGCTAGGACTCCCTTGGTTCGCTCAATTAAATACATAAAGAAATGTATTTAAAAAGGAAACCTGGAAAAAATCTTGCTACAAACATGACTTTAAAATTTGCAAGTGTGTGAGATAAAGTCCTTAACCTCAACTTGGAAACTACAGTGAAAGCTAACTGTTTCACAATTATGCTCAAGTTTATTTTCTGGTCATGCTTTTATGATAGTGTTTCATTTTTTAATTCTCAAGACAGAAAAGAAAAGAAAATGGTCCCAGAAGGAATGCACAACTTCATTTTGCTTACAACACAGAAATTCTTCTTGGAAGGGTAATTGTGCTCTTCATTTCAGCAACAGGAGATGGAAAAGATCTTGCCCTTTGAAGTTGGGAGGATGGGGGTCCAAGTTAGTATGGTTGGATTGGATATGCTATCATTTTTAATTTTCAACCGTTGGAAGCTTCTTCCAGTCATGGAGTCCACCACTCTTCTGACACACAGAAAGATTGATTAAGAGTTGCACTTTGATAAAGTGTAACCAAGTGTGAAGCTTTGCCCTCACTAAACTGACACATTCAGCCATTAGCTCGCCATTTTCAAGAATGCTATCTATTTACCAACCCAGATTCAAAAGACTAGATTTTCCTATCAGGAAAATAAAACATGCTAAAATAGCTCATCACAAAAATGTCATTGCATACATTAAACAAATAGCTTTCTATAATAACAAATCTATTTCTTCTTTTCTTACTGACATTCCTAATCTGAACTATAGGCTCATAAAACATCAGTAAAACAGCACTGTTTGGCCTGGGAAAAAATATTTAAAAAAAAAAAAAAAAAAAAAAAAAAAAACCACCACAACAACAACATTCTGAAATCCTGATCAAGCACAGCCTTAATTAATTAGATACCTACCTCCTTCAGTTCCAGATCTTGAGGAAGCTGTCCCATGATCCTGTTGCCACTGCCATGCCATCATCAGTCACACCTAAGCAACTGACACGGTTATCATGACCAGCAAGGACACCTGTAAGTAAGAACATGTAACAGTATTATTACATTACTTTGAGACACATGTGATGGGATTATTCAACCAATACATTAGAAAGTCCTGAACAAACATGCTTGGAATTTTTAAATGCTTTTGGTTTAATAAGCGCAAACTTAAGATACAACTGGGTGGCTTCACAATGGAATAATTCAGTACATGCATTATTCAAAATTTTCCTTGTATATTGCCCACATTACGACCTGTACTGACTTCTCATGAGTTGTGAAATCACAGCCCCAAAAATTCTGCTGACAATGTCATAGCAATAAATACAGTATAACCATGCATTGCATAGCTCTTTGTCTTTCCTCTCCACAGTGATAAAGATCAGTTAGATTTCAATTTTTTTAGTGTATAAAATCTTAAGCTGAATTATGTCATGAACACTGAAGCATTTTTTCAGCTAATTTTATCTTACTATGTTTACAAGCACTTACAAGACAAACTCCTACATCCAATGTATTTGTCAATATGGAAATCTGTTACAATTAGAGTACTATCAAAAAAAAAATTAAGACTAAGCAGAAAAATTGAAGGTGCAACATTTTCCTCTATCCTCTTCAACTTAACAGTTTCAAGTAGGTAAAAAGAAAATCTAATTATATTCAAGTGCTTTACAGTCCACAGCACTAAGCTATTAGCAGACTTAAAATTAATCTTTATACATCAATCACTTTGTGGTTAGCACTCTCCTCATTTGTATTTTGGGCTTCTTCCCTCCTTTTATCAACCTTTAATATAAAACTTGAAGCAAGTCAGTTGTTTTTAAACTAACATGTTTTAATACTAGAAGTTAGTATTTTTAATTATTAACTCAGTGTACAAGTGGGTAATTCATACACAAGGATGCTTGATGTTTGAAGAAGTAACATCTATGATACACTTGATAAAAGCACTAATGCTGTGTGAGTAACACCATGAATCTCCAGATCCTATTAAATCTATCAAGCATCTAAGCCTCAGCACAGCATCGTGCACTTCTGCCACATCAGAGGCCAAACCCCGGGTGCTGAAGCACACTATACATTCTTTGGGAATTTGGTGCAATAAAGAAGCCTGCTGCCAGAGCTAACATGAGTATGTAGGAGTTACCTAGAACTTACTGTGGAAATAGCATTAATGTATCAACATTCACTCTACCATCAACATTAATAAGCACTGCAATGTTGTAAAACAAAGAGAGCATTGAGAAGTCTTATGCACTTGAGCTAAATACATAACCACAAAGGTGCTTAATATAGAACCAGGCATGACAGAAGAGTCCGAGTATGAAATCTGATCATCAACTTAACGTCTCAGAACATTTCAATAAGCAAAATACTTCATAAAGTAGTTTAAATCAATTCTAAAATTTGGCAGTAAAGAATCACACTTGACATGTACAGGGACTGTAAACCCAGATCAGTAGGAACAGACTTATCATTTCTACAGGTAAGCAAGATCACAGACTCCTTTTTCTTACTGAAGGTCTTTCAAATAACAGAAATACAGGAAGACCCACATAATTGTTTGTACAGTACTTAAACACAGCCATTTGTAAACTAACCTAGACATTAACCAAGAGAAATTTCTCAAGTCATTTCCACACAGGCTTGTATACACATTTATGTCTCAATAATTAAAGCATAAGAATCTGGAATTTTAAATCTCAACACACAAACAAGGCTGATTCATAAAATGCATTCCAGTACTGAAATATTTGTATCTGGCACATTAACTTGCAAATAGAACCAAAAGTTATTCTAGAATATAGAAACCAAGAGTCTACAGCTTCAACTTCTCAGCACTGACAAAAACGATCATAAATTTTAGAAGAAATAAAGGATAAAATCTGAGTGGTAAAACAAAGTTGCTGGAGAAAGAAATTAATAAATCCAATGGAAACTATTTTAGTAGGAACTATATTGGTAGGATCATACATTTCCTTATGTTTGGGTTCCAATCCCCCCACAGTGTAACTTGGCTGATGTTTTTTGTTTGCTTTTAAAATCCACCTCGGATAATTTTAAAAGCCTAGACCACTTTATTTGGGTAGCACAACCGGTCCTTGTTCTCATCCCCTATTCTGATGAGAGTAACAAAACATTTGAGGCCAAATTTATACCTTTGCTCCTTTTTTTCCTGATGTTTTCACTTTAAAGAATTGAAGTTATATTAATCTTCATACCATAGATTACATACTCATTTCCTCAAAAGTTGATCTCCACAGTGTCTGCTGTTTTGCTCGTTGTCTCTACAGCTACTGCTAGAAATACTGGGAAAAAAAATTCTTTTCTATGAATAGCTACATGAATGTTGAATTGTTAATACAACAATGCCATGAAGTCTACAAATATAGCCCTCTACCCCCCAAAACCTTGTTTTTAATGGCAATCTTCCTGTTCGCAACCAACCATTGTTGCCTTTTATCCTTAAGCATTATTCCATTTTGTTATCATCATTAAGCTACTTCCATCACTGGTCATCCTGAAACAGGTTATCACAGAATTTTCAAGTTGAGACAGGGAATGCTCAATGACAGCTCACACATTCAGTGTGTCCCACTGTGTTTATAGTATTCATACCCAAAAAAACATTTACCTGCTCTATCAGCTTTCAGTGTGTCCCAGACATTGCAGTTGAAGTCATCATAACCAGCTAAGAGGAGACGTCCACTCTTGGAAAATGCTACAGAGGTGATGCCACAAATGATGTTATCATGTGAATAAACCATAAGTTCCTGATCAGCCCGAAGATCAAAAAGCCTGCATGTAGCATCATCTGAGCCTGTGGCAAATGCGTTGCCATTTGGGAAGAACTTTAAGGAGGGAAGAAAAGTGACACATGATTTCAGACTTGATTTCTCTGTCTCATTTTGTACAGAGCAAGTAAAAAAAAAAAAAAACAAAAAAAAATTAAAGTGGCAAAGAAGAGCATACACCTCCCCAGAACTGGATTTTTCCTCTTATTCCTTTTTTTCTGCACTCTGGTTTCATCTGTTTAAGCAACATCATCATATTCCCACCCCACCTGCAAATGACTAACACCAGAGCTGACCTTAACTCATCATCTCCAATTTTATATCGAACATTTATGTGCTTTTAGAAAGCGTGATAGGAGAGGCCATTCTGTACATTTAGCTTTTAAAGAGCTTTCATTATTTTTAACAATTTTAGGGTAAGCCAAATGTTGAGTTTAAATAATGATTTCCATTAGCCAAAGTCCATCAGTTTTAGTTCCCTTTTAAACCATTACATTTAAATGTATCAGAAGCATGAATTATAATTTATCCAAATGCATAAAGTGCAGTCACTACTACTGGCAATTAAGAGCATATGAAGAACAGTCAGTTTTCATTTACCTCAAGTGATCTCAAGTTGCACAAGTTTCAGGTACATTCCCCAGCTATAAAAATTATCAATTAAAAAAACATGCCATAATACTACTACATACAGTACATGCTTAATAGCAGCGAACAGTGAAATGTAGAAATATGGATTTATATCCCATGTTCTCTGCTCAAGCCAATACATACACAGATGGCATTAATGTCCGACTCGTGGCCAGTGAAGGTTTGCCGACACATTCCTTCTCTAACATCCCACAGTTTGGCAGAGGCATCACAGGCACCAGAAACAAAACACCGGGCATCAGGAGCAAGAGACAAACTCATGACATCTCCAGTGTGCCCAGTAAATGTAGTTGTCTGCTGACCAGTTTCTATGTCCCAGAGAGCACTTGAAAGAATGAAGAAGGCAGAAATTAACATATTGGTGCTCCAAGGTGAAGACAGCAATTCTTGTCTAAACCTGTTAATTTATTATTATTGCTAAAAAGTAAAACTCAAAGTATTAATAAAAAAAAAATAAACCAAGAGCAGAAAAACCAAGTGAAATGACTTAAAGCAGCAGTGGCAAGGCTACAGCAAAAGCTGAGTCAGCATTTCCCATTTTTAAAGACCCACTGAGGATGTGCAACCTTGAGTTACGTCTGTGATCTTCAAGCTTTTCCAAGACAGCAGAATCACTAGTACAGTGATAATCAAAGAGTACAAAAGGATGAAAGAACACTAGTATAAAAGGATGAAAGAACACTATAACGTCCCTAATATTAATTTCTGTAATTTCTAGGTAAACCAGAGTCATTGGGGCAGATTTGCACCATGCAAGTAAGAGATGACTTGAAACCGTGCTTTGAAGTTTGGCTGAAAAGAAGTTTCATGGACAAACTGCTATCCAGAGAACTGTAGAGCTACTACAGTAAGTCCTGAAGCAGCTGAATTCTCTTATTAAGGGCATAATTTTAACAAACCCTGTAACAAAACAAAGCACCAACCCATATTTAGAACCATTTTTGTATTAAACCCCATATGTATTCAATAGCTACTCAGAATCAGTGAACTAATAGATGGGCATTCAAAAAGACTGACACTATGTAGGAGAAGTGCTTATTAGACAACCTTTGCTATAAGAACTGCTGCTTGCAAGAGCTGTAATGCTTTTAAGAATTAGATATAATAGACAAAATCTATGAAAAAAAAAAGATTTGAGGTCTTTTTTTGTTCAGAAGCTAGTATTTATTGAGTTACACACCTACATTCTCCTAAAAAAAACCCCATCTACTGTCACTGTAGAATATTTTCTAGGAGCTCTCATGAATAGCAACATAAACTGATTTCTGCATTAGAAAAATCCAAATACGACTTTTTAAGCAACAAAACATTGAAAATGCTAAGCAGGTTTGAGAAAAGTCGTTAGTCTAACACATTTCTGAAAGCCAAATAGTTCTAGGAAAAAGAAAAAAATTCCCCATACGATCTTAACGGAGAGAATTAGGTCAGGCTCTTCAGAACATGGGCATAACTAAACAGCCAAAGCTAACAAACTTGAAAGTCAAAGTTTTCCATTGCTAGTTAAAACTGTGACACATGAACAATAATTGATCACATTTACTCTTCTGGATGACTATCAGGTTTACAAAGAAAAAAGCTTCCTTCCATAGTAGAGCTGTGAAAAGTTATTACTAACTATCATGTCAAAGTTTTAGTGCTTACCAAGTAGTGTCGCCAGAGCTGGTGACGATTTGATTATCATCCAAGAAGCGACAGCACGACAAGTATCCTGAAAACAAAACAAGTTGGTGAATAAGACCAGAGATTACTCTTCACATTGCACACTGGCTTGCTTATATGTTGCTGCCTCCTCTTCTGAAGATGCAGCTAAGAACTACCACGTAAGCCTAAAACACAACATAGACAAGTTTGACATATAGGACCCTCCAATGTCTTGGATCAAATGTAGTTTTGCCTCTTTACAGACCAGGCCCAACCACTACACTAGCACAGTGGTACACTTGGACACAGTGGTATCACAGCAAACCCACATAAATAGTTTTCCCTGTGTCCTGAAGTGTGGGCAGGCAGTGCACGGAGAAGGGAAGAGTACCTTCTTTAGAAATCATTTTACTGGTCCCATCACAACCACTACCTGAAGGTCAAATCAACACTACTTTCTCATACCCTTAACTACACCCAAAGGGTGTACAATTCCTCCAAATTACCTAAATCATGCTTTGTAAGAAAAACAGCTGGAAATGAATTAAATAGCATTAAGCATACTTTAATTCACATTTAACTTTTTCCGTATTAAAAAAATCATTACGAATTATTACTGTGTAACTATTTCTGAGTAACCTTATTTTCCATCTATGAATAATCTTTATACCATTTTCTTTTCTCTGTATAGAGGCTCCACAGGCAGAAAACCAGCAGGAGACAGAGTCCACCTGACAATTTCCTTAAAGAACTGTTAGAGGTTTTCTCTGTAGCCATCTACCTTTGTCTTACATTTTTTGTGGAAACAAAGAGACCATAAAGGTGATGTGTAGCTTTACAAGACACCAGAGTACCTAATAAATGGACAGTGTTTTAATTTTCAGTGGAGTTCATGAAACCACCCGCCCAGCTTTCCTCTGAAAAACTTCCAATCCCATTCACAAAGAAACAAAAATACAATCTGTCCATTATCAGAATACACAAAAGCAGTTCACATTTTCTAGGTTATTACTGCTTGTAAGCTGCTCATCTCCACTAACTGTACATTCTTTAGGAAGTGAGAATATCGTCAGCCACTGAATTTGCTTTTAAATGTACATTGTGACACTGAGGTTCTTGGTTTGTTCAGAAAGAAACATTTTCAACTCACCCACCACACTTAAAACACCAGCTTTTAAGTACCATGAGGGACTTCCTTGCTTCAAAAACTCTTAATACTTCTTACCTAACAAGATGAATTTTGCTTCATCTGTCACTATGATAACTCTGCAGCTACAGTTTACATCCTAATTTACCAGGTAATACCTACAAGTCTACCTGTCTCTCCTCATCAATCACAAGACAGTTCACCCTAGAAACAGAAACCAAAGGCAAAAATTGAGCTACTGTATTTTGGGGGGAAGGGAGAAAAGAAGAAACAAGAGGAAACAATGAGAACTCAAAACTCTGCAACTAAATAGAAGCTCCATCAGAAAGCAGCTGTCTCACTTGTGAAAATTAAAACACATTGTCATTACACTTCTTGTGCTCAAAGTATATAATCCTTTGAAAAAAAAAAGTTTTAAAAAGGAAGGAGAAAAAAAAACTGTTTAACAACAGATAGTATGCAGCTAAGGTCCTGCCAGAAAAAGAGAGGTGCACAATGAAGTATATATTTTTATTTAGGAAATTATATTTAAAAGATTAAAAGAAAACCTTCACCATGTGATTATAACTTAGATTATTCTGAAGAGGCACTCACCTGTGTGACCAGCTAGTTCACGGCTGACACGTACGTTCCCTTCACGAGTTTTCAAGTTATAAATGGAACAGATGTTATCAAGACCACCACAAGCCACATAATTTCCAGAAGGAGCATATGCACAAGTCATGACCCAAGATGAACGCAGGGGAATGGCATGCACCTGAAACAGACACATTAATGTATTTCATCCGCAAAACAACAGATTCAATAGTTATCATCAGGAAGTTTTTCACCTGTCTTAAGACATACATCATCCTTTTGTCAAAAGGACAAGAAAACAGTGAAAAGTTTTTGGTTTTCTGAATATAAAACTATTTTGAGGGTAACCTGCATATATTACAACTTGTCAGACCAAGTAGTGATGTAACGAAAACCTCAGATTTGCCTTTCCCAAATCCAGCAATTTTAGTAAGAAATTTTCCCAATTCAAAACTTTCCCAAAGTTAGCAATTTTAGTAAAAACTAAATTATTTCATTCCAGTACTCTGACGACTATGGATTTATTACAGGTTCAGGAAAATACTGACTTCCAAGTACAGTCAGTAAAATTGCCAATTCCAGGCCTAGACACTACACTATGAATGAATAAGAAAGGAAATCATTACTTCCAGTGCCATTTAAATCCTTCTTTGGAAACCCACTGTAGGCAATCGAGCTTCATGTTTAAATAACTACCCCATGTTTCCTCACCATTCTGTGCTCAAAGAACTCCACTTAAAAAATTATGCAAGCTAAATCTTTTCTCTCTTTTTAACTCATTGCATTCATCCTTCAAATTTGTTCTCAACACCTCTAAGAAAGGGATCATATCCTTATACATATTGAGACCTCATGCAGTATTAACAATCTTCCTACATATCTTAAGATTACTATCTCTTCCTCTGCTGCTACAGTAATCTGCAACCCTGCAGCAATCAGCAGTTGAAAATCCAATCCCTTTCGCTAAAACCACAATCAGCTCATTCTTGGAAGTCTTCTACCAGGGATCTAATCAGAATATTAACCTTGAACCATTTTATCACTAGGAAAAGACAATATTCATGGCACCTGTGTTACTTCCAATGTGTGCTACAACTGCCAAAAGAACATCTGCAGACTATCACTCAAGTATTTTTGAATTAGCTGCTTCTGGGTGCTACACAGTCAAATTTAAAATTGTTTCAACACCAAGGTGTTTGCTACCTCTAATTCCAGAGAGTTTGTGGGTTTGGCTGGCGGGGGGAGCGGGGCTTACTTCTTTTGCGGCAGGGGGGTAGTGCGTTTTTTTGTTTGGTTGGTTTTAACTCAATTGTTTTTTCACTGAATTAATACTGTCAAGAGGTACAGGAGGAAGAGGGAGTTTTTGCAGCTGAAGAGTTCCATTTCTGACTCTAGTAAATGTTTTACCAGTCTAGCAACAACCTCCGATTCCATTCCCCCCAGATAAGAAAGCTGCACTCTGCCTCCTGATGACACCATTAATTAATTAACATTCATATAAGAACTGAAAATACTGAGATGGAAATCATGTTATATAAAGATTATTTTACCACCTTATCTTTCAGTTGTTACAGTAATTTAGATCAGATTTGCCTGCAGGCTGGATTCACAGGAGGAAGGCAAAAAATAGGGAGAGGTTATTTTTATTTTGCTAACATTATTTCTCTTTAGTAAAGTTATGAATTCCTTAGTTTCACAGCTGGGATTCAACAATAATCCCAGCTTTAAAGTTGTTGCTGCAGTTGTTTCTGCTTTTCTCTCTACGGATACACGGCTGTATTCTTCAAATGCAAACTTCATTATTTTGGAGAACCCAAAATTTTGTCTTAGCACTATGCAAGTAATGCAGCCAAATTCATGACAGGTAACATTTCCTTCCTTTGTCTTTACATTTAATTACACAGCAATATACCAGTTAGTCTTACCTTGTTTGTAGTATAGCTGTCCCAAATTATAAGTTTGCCATCCTGGGAGGCGCTAACTAGAAGTCTAGAGAGGAAACAAGAGATAAAGACAATCGTTGGGGAAGACAAGAAGGAATATCTTTGTGATGGCATCTGTCTCCACTACCAAGGCCAAGGTACTTGAAACCATTCAAGTACAGTGCAGCATTTCCCAATTCAGTTATTAGCACTATCAAAATTATTTTGCAAGTACTCAATTACATGCTAAATATTATGGAAACGTGTGATGGAACACCTACATGTAAACACCTTCTGACTTGAAAAAAACCATGTAACTAACATCTCAATTGAGGGAGAAAACTTGCATGGAATCAGTGCTTATGTGTTCTATATATAGGCTTCAGATTCACTGATTTTGGAAATCTACAGTGTCAATATGGTTTCGTTTTTCCTATTCTTAAAGTAGGAAAAAAGATACATTAAGCATTTCTGAATTCTCTTGGTTGCCCAAGTTCTCTTGGAATTAGCGGTTCCTAGTGGTAGGAATAGGAAAAACAAGTCCTGCACAGTCAGCCTTCCAAAGAGTGATGCCAAGAGATCTGATTTGGATCATCAGCACCCACCTGGAATCAGTCCCCCAGTGCATTGCATAAATTTTAGCCAGGTGTCCCCGGAGTGTTCTTCTAGTGCGCATTTGAATTCTCCCCACTGGGTCAATATTGGCTGTGATCTGAAATAGCAATGGTGTCATACACCGAATTTCTCACTTCATAGTTCCAAAAGTGACATATCATACACAAATACATTTAAACAAGCATTCCAATGCAGACCCAAAGTCCCACATTTTGAATATTGACTGAGTTTTTGAAAACTGCCTAATCTAAAGCTACATTGTTTTATGTAGTATATCTTCATCAAATTAAGAAAGCAGCCCCTCTACTGCATTTACAAAGACACTCAGAAATTACCTTGTTTAGGTCTTATTTTCTTAGACTTTTAGGATTTCAAACCTTTGATCTGGGTTTTCTACTCCTGTGTACATTTCCAGAAGACCCCCCACTGTAGCTTCATGAGATATACTACAGAGTTCAGAATTCCCATTCCCCAAGTTAATGTTGGCTGAAGCCAAGCAAATAGGATCAAAATGTGTTAGTACAGCAAGATGCAAAGGTATTAGCT